TTTTTTTATGATTTACTTATTTAATTAATTTGAAAGGGAGAGTGACAGAAAGAGAGACAGACAGAGACAAAGAGATTTTCCATTTGCCAGTTCTCTTCCTAAATGGCTACAACAGCCAGAGCTGGGCCAGGCCAAAGCCAGGAGCCTGGAACTCCATCCTGATCTCCCACATGGGTGGCAGGGCTCCAAGTACTTGGACCATCTTCTACTGCCTTCCCACACACATTAGTGGGGAGCTGGATCAGAAGCCAAGTAGCAGGGAGCCGAACTGGCACACTGATAGAGGATGCTGGCATTGCCAGTGGCAGCTTAACCTGCTGTACCACAACACTGGCCCCCCATTCCCTGCCTTGCCATTTTTGAAAGAAGAGGCTCTAAGGAAAAGGGGAAAGTGGGGAAAGCAGCATGGTCTGTCATTCATATACATGAACACATGTCCCTGTGTCACATCATGCACTCGCTCTCAGCCGCACCTGTTTGCAGAGGCATCCGCAGGAGAAACCCTTGCAGATGGCCATGTGCACACTACCACGTTCTCACATGCCCACGTTCTTACATGCTCACGGAGGGCAGAGGCTGTCTGTCTGCTGAATAAGTGCCGGTATGCACAGCATCATTGGTGTGTCTATGACGAGAACATACCTTTTTCTGTACTTAGTTGAAGTTGGATGGAGGAGAGAATTTCCTTTTCCCTTGACCCCTTCTTCTGGCTAGGGCTGATGGGAGGGAAGACAGTCACCTTGCCCTTTTTATTTCTAACTGATTAGTGTGTGGTTTTATGTAGTTTTATTTATTTGCAAGGCAGAGCAACAGAGGTAGATAAAGATATCCCACCCCCTGGGTGACTCCCCAGATGGCAGTAACAACCCCTGGCTGGGGCTGAAGCTGGGAGCCAGGGGTTCAAGGTAGGTCTCGCATGTGAGTGGCAGGAACCTCCCAGCGTCTGCATCAGCAGGAAGCTGGAGTCAGGGGTGGAGCCAGAGATCCAGCCTAGGCACTCCAGTGGGGGATGTGGGTGTCTGAACCTCTAGGCCAAATGCCTGCCCCTGTAGTTTTATGTTTTTGAAGTCAAACCTGAGATATAATTTATATACAGTACAGTTTATTCTTTTTAGATGTACATTTCTGTGAATTTTGATAAATGTAACCACTAAAATACCAAGATACAGACTAACTCCATCACCCCAGAAAGTCCCCTCAGGGCAGAGGGACAAAGCTAAGAGAGAACCTGGGGATGGTGTGTGCAGGCCTGGGAGACGCGGCTGACGGCAGAGAAGGAGGGCACTGGTGCCCGCTGAGTCGGGACATCCTGGCCCTCATGCCGGGCAGGGGCAGGGGCAGGGGCAGGGGCAGGGGCAGGCTTAGGTTGAGGTGAGTGAGGCAGAGCCTGCCTTGATGGAAAATTTTGATGTTTTGTTCATCATAGATTTTTCCATTATTATTTTTTTCAATTTACTATTTATTTGAAAGACAGAGAGGGAGAGACAGAGACAGAGAGAGAGATCTTCCATCGTTGGTTTACTCCCCAAATGTCTGCAACAGTCAGGGCTGGGCCAAGAGCTGAAACCAGGAGCCAGGAGCTTCTTCCGGGTCTCCCACGTGGTGGCTGAGGCCTAAGCACTTGGGTCATCTTCTGCTGCTTTCCCAGGCCATTAGCAGGGAGCTGAATGGGAAGTGGAGCAGCTGGGACTCAAACCAGCTCTCATATGGGATGCTGGCACCACAGGCGGCAGCTTAACTCATCACACCACAATGCTGCCACAACATTAGTTTTCAAGAAGATTGTATTAAAATGCTGTGTGCCTTGATTCCCAGGTTACCCCAGCTCTGGCCCTGTCCTAGAGACAGAGAGCCGGCCTGGGGTGGGGCTGTGCTCATTCCCCACCTACCCTAGCTGGGGCCTGAACAGGGGGTCAGGAGGAAGGGTAGCTTTGTGCTCAGCTGCTAACAAAGGAATGATGCTCCCCTCATGGCCACCCTGACATTTGAGCTGTGGGCGCCGCCCTGTTCCCACGTTGGTTCCGAGGGCCCTTGATTCACTCATTTATTCACCGAAGGCCACCTGTGCCACGACCCTGCCTCGGCTGGGTGAAGATGGTATGGGACAGACAGGACAGTCAGGACAGGGATGGGATTGAGGGGTATGGGACGGTCCCTACCGAGACCGAGGGGAGCAAGGGCCCTACTCAGGGGAATGCTGGGTTTGTGGCTTTATACAGAGTGGCCGCTTGAGCCTGGTGTCCACATCTCACTTACATTGCCTGTCATCTCCCTCCTGCCCTTGGACTTCTACAGCTGTGCCATCCACTCTGGTGGCCTCTAACTGTGAGTGGCTGCTGCATATTTGGACTGAGATGGGCTCTAAGTGGACAGTGTGCTTACCAGGAAATGTACACGTGGCCCACATGGGATTTCCACTGGCAGCCTGCGTCTCGAGCCCAGAGGACAAGTGGGGAGCAGGCAAGAGGGCTAGGCAGCAGCCAGAACACAGCTGGGAGTGATGATGGAGTGCGATGGTTAAGGAGGGGAACTGCAGAGCCAGCAGTCAGGCCGAAGACCCATTTCTGCTTATGTGCTGTGCCATTGTAACCTCTGCATTTTCAGTTTCTTCATTTTTAAAAAAGAGACTGACTTATTTATTTGAAAAGCAGAAGGGCTGGTGCCATGGTGTAGCAGGTAAAGCTGCCGCCCGCGTGCTGGCATCCCATATGGGTGCTGGTTCAAGACCCGGTTGCTCCTCTTCTGATCCAGCTCTCTGCTATGGCCTGGGAAAGCAGTGGAATATGGCCCAAGTCCTTGGGCCCCTGCACTCACATGGGAGACCTGGAAGAAGCTCCTGGCTCCTGGCTTCAGATCAGCACAGCTCCGGCTGTTGCGGCCACTTGGGGAGTGAACCAGCACATGGAAGACGCTCGCTCACTCGCTCTCTCCCCCCGCTCCTCCTTCTCTCTTTGTGTAACTCTGATTTTCAAATAAATAAATAAATCTTTAAAAAAAAATGCAGAGCCGGTGCCGTGGCTCAATTGGCTAATCCTCCGCCTGCGGCGCCAGCACCCCGGGGTTCTAGTCCCGGTTGGGGTGCCGGGTACTTGTCCCGGTTGCTCCTCTTCCTGTCCAGCTCTCTGCCGTGGCCCGGGAGGGCAGTGGAGGATGGCCCAAGTGCTTGGGCCCTGCACCCGCATGGGAGGCCAGGAGGAAGCACCCGGCTCCTGGCTTTGGATTGGCGCAGCGCCGGCCATAGCGGCCATTAGGGGAGTGAACCAACGGAAAGAAGACCTTTCTGTTTCTCTCTCACTGTCTATAACTCTACTGGTCAAATAAAAAATAAAAATAAAAATAAATGCAGAAAGAGAGAAAAGGAGAGGCAGGGAGAGATCTGCTGGTTCACTCCTTAAATGCCTCAACAGTCAAGGCTAAGCCAGGCTGAAGCCAGGAGCCAGGAAGTCCCAATCTCACGAGGAACCAGGTACTAGGAACAAAGTACCTGGACCATCACCTGCTGTCTCCCAGGAGCATTAGCAGGGAGTTGGATCAGAAGCGCGGAGTAGCCAGGACCAGAACCAGGCACTTCAGTATGGGCAGGAGGCTTAAACCCACAATGCTCGCCCTTAGTTTCTTCATTCTGACCTGGGACAAGGATAAAAGAAAGCATCCACTCCACAGAGCTGTTCTCATAAACCCCGTGGTGTATTGTGGGCACTCATTGGTGGAGAGGTGACCTCATTCTGCCCAGCTACACAGCTTGGATCTGACCCTCAGGGAACTGACTGGGCACTGGGCTGTGAACTGTGGACTCATGCACATTTCAGAAAGAAAGGGAGCCCGGAGCAGAGGCTGTGCAGAGTGCATGGAGGAGGCAGCAAGGCGAGGTGCGCAGAGAATGGGCTACATCCCAGGCCACAGGCCACGGTGATGGAAGGACGGGGTGGAGAGGAGATGTCCCCGGCCTGGTGGAGGGTGGGGACTCTCGTCCAGACAGGGGAAGGGTGGGGGGACCAAACCTCTCTGTGTGCTGAGGCCTGGCCCAGCTCCTGTCACACAGGTGCTTAGCGCACAGTTGCTGCACGGCTGGAAGACGAAGCACTCACTGTCTTTGAGACTGAAGTCCTGGGGCTTACAGCTGGGTCTCAGTCTGCCAGGCCGGATTCTTCACCTTTCTAGGCGTCCATCTCCTCCACCCCTCATCTGTGAAGTGCCAACAATAAGTGTAGCCCCCTGGTGGGCCACCAGTGGGTGCTCAGCAGGCTTAGCCCCATTCCCCACACAAAGGCTTTCTCAGCCCTGAAAAGGCCAAGGGCTTCCTCGGAAGATGCAAATGCTCAACCCCCAGCAGCGAAGCAGGAAGATGGAGGCCAGACTGCAGGAAGAACTTTGTTTTAGAGCCAAGACGATCAATAATTAGTAGATAATTAGGGAGTGTTGGAAGGAGATGACTCCAGAGCCGGTCTCCTTCTTCCTGAGCGTCCCAGAGTGACTCGGCAGGAAGGAGCCAGGGCTGGAGGTCCAGCAGGGCCCTACACCGAGCCCCCAGGCCCCTCACCGATCTTGGAGGGTGGGAGTTTGGGGGTCATAAGTGGGAAAGGAGAGGTTGGGGGCTCCCTGGGGCTGCTCAAACCAGCTAGGTAGGCCCTGCCATGGTGACCCAGGAGTCCCACACAAGCTCAGGCTTCTCTGGTGGCACCTGCCAAACCCTGAGACTCTGCGAAGCTGCCCAAGCGTTAGAGGAACAAGCCTAGTTATGGGAGGGGTCTGTGGTTCAGTTTCCACACCTGTTGGCTGCATGAACCTGGGCGAGGCACTGTAACCTCAGCAGGCCTTGGTTTCTCCCTTTGTAAAGCAGAGCAACAGGGCCTCCCTCTGAAAGACACTGGGACCTTTCGTGTGTGCAGCTGGTACGTCGTCAGTACACCTGCTCCACAGCTGGCCTGTGCCATGTGCTGTGGCCGCCGGCTCAGTGTCGCCCTCTCTCTCTCTCTCTTGCCCTTGCTTCTGCTCCACAGTCCCCATTCCCTCCAAAGCCAGCAGCCTTTCGGCCATCTCACTGGCCAAAGACAGCCTGGTTGGCGGCATCACCAACCCCAGTGAGGTCTTCTGCTCCGTGCCTGGTCGGCTCTCGCTGCTCAGCTCGACGTCCAAGTACAAGGTGACGGTGGGGGAGGTGCAGCGGCGACTCTCACCTCCCGAGTGCCTCAACGCTTCCCTCCTGGGAGGTGTCCTCCGCAGGTAGGAAGGCCAGCCCACAGTCCCCACACGGGCTCCTCAGGGCATCCGAGAGCCACCTCTCTCCAGTCCACTGCATCATCCCTGCCTCGGTCTCCCTGGGAGACGAGGGCCCGGGAACTCTGGATTGTGCATGCTCTGGGGGCAGGCCTGGGTCCCCAGCAGCTTCCACAGGTCTGTGGTCTTGTGGGTAGGGAGGGGGCAGAGCCTAGGCACAGAGACGGGATGGGAGGACTTGCCCACATTGGGCAGGACAGACATGGCTGGGTCTGGGGGAGAGAGGGAGCTGATTTCCATCCCTCCCCCCAGACCTAAGGCCCCTTCCCCATTGCTGCACAGGCCTTGCTGGGGTGTGTTTTGTTGTTTTGGGGTGGGGAGCATGGTAGCCGATGGTTTGTCTTCATAGCTGTGTGTCCTCTCTGTGCCTGTCCTTGTGCCTGGGAAGAGTATTTCTGCTTCAGGACTGTGAGTTTTGATGAGTCTGAGGATAGTGTGTACATCCACCCAGGTGTGTGTGCACGCACACGTGTGTACATAGTGAGGGGTGGCCAGCAGGGTTCCCGCGTGAGTGACCTGTAGGGCAGGAGTATTTCCTACTCCGTGTGTGTGCATGTGCAATTGGAGCCCTCATGCGTCCATGCCACGTCTGCACCTCTGTGTGGGGCTGCATTTGTGTAGTTATGGGGGCCAGCTCCTCATTCCTGGTCTTTCTGAGCACCCTGGAGGGACCTGTGTGAGTCCCTGGGATCCTGACTTGGGGTGAATGTCTCTGTGTTCCTGCTGTCCCTGGTGTCCGTTGGCTCTGCATACATCTGTCTCATCAGTGTCTGTCTCTGTGTTCTTTGCCCTCAGTGCGTGTTCATCTGTGTGTCTGGAGGTCCCAGGTGGTTGTGTGCACCTGTCACCCTATGTGTCTCACTGCATGTCTGCATATAGGCCTGTGTGTGCCTGGGTGGCCGGTGATGGTGCAGCTGGCATGCTGAGTTGTGGGGAAAGGACCACAGGGGCTGGCCCATCCTTCCCCAGCCTTGGTTCCTCCTGCTGAGAGGATGGAGAATTGAGGAGCTCCTTATCCTGTCTTGGCTGCAAAATATGTGAGGTCAGAAGAGGTTGGGAGCTTGCTCAGAGTCCCCAGAGCAGCCCAGGGCCAGACCTAAGCCTTGACAGGGCTTGGTGGGGGGAACAAGGTCCTTTGGGGTCACTTAGCCTACATGCTTCTCTCTTGTCTTCATAGTTGTATGTCTGTCTCTCCCTATCATGTCAAGGGCCAAGTCCAAGAATGGGGGCCGGTGCCTGCGGGAACAGCTAGAGAAGATTGGGCTCAACCTGCCTGCTGGCCGTCGCAAGGCTGCCAACGTGACCTTGCTTACCTCGTTGGTAGAAGGTGAGGGAGGCCTTGGGCGGGCATGAGCATGACTGCGAGATGTGTGTAGTGTTGTGGTATCTGTGTGTGTGCTCTGTGTAGCATGAGAGTAAGGTGTATGTCTGGTCGTCCTGTTTGTACAATGCACACACATGCATGTGCAGTAAAGGGTTTGAATGTGGTAAAGGAATGAGGAGGTAGGAGCCCACTTCTCTGAGGCCGGTGACTGGCTTTGGGATACACTGTGGGCCAGGCTCCGGTCTCTGAGCTCGGAGCCCAGCCCTGGAGGCCCCAGGGGAGGGCAGTGGAATGGGGGCTGCCGGTGGGCTGCAAGGGAAATCAGAGGGCAGCGTCTGTAGAAGCAGGATGCCCCCTTCAGGGCCTTGGAGGCTCGAGGCTGGGCTCCAGGCTCAGAGCACACCTGGCAGTAACAACAGCTCCCTTCCCCGCAGGAGAGGCTGTGCACCTGGCCCGAGACTTCAGCTACGTCTGTGAGACGGAGTTCCCAGCCAAGGCAGCCGCTGAGTACCTGTGCCGACAGCATGCCGACCCCGGGGGACTGCACAGCCGCAAGAGCATGCTGCTGGCTGCCAAGTGAGTGAGGGCACCACGCACAGGCACCATACACAGGTACAATGGACACCACTCCTGAGCAGACATATGACACCACATATGGTACCACATGTGACCATCTGTGGGTTCCATGTAGCAGTAGACAGTGTCACATACAGGCTAGCAGAGGCCATGTTGGGCACTACACTCACTGCCCCATGGCAGCACCAGTCTGGGCCTCCCCAAGCCCCGAACCTCCCCTGTACCACCTGAGCCCTGCCCAGCAGCTCCTAGCTCCAGTGACCACCATCAGGCCCCAGGCCTTACCTGACTCCTGTGACCTCAGCTCAGGCCTCTTCCTCTCACTCCTGGGCCTTCACCCAGAGTCCCCCTCCACCTCACTGCACATGCACAGCGCCTCTGCCCAAGAATATCCCCTGGCTCACACTGCTACTGCATTGATTTTCAAACAAGGTGCTGGGGGTAGGTACCTCGGGGTCTGTTTCATGAGTGAAGAGTCCACTAAGACTTAGCTTTTTCTAAGATTTATTTTATTTATTTGAAAGGTAGAGTTACGGCTGGCGCCGCGGCTCACTAGGCTAATCCTCCACCTAGCGGCGCCGGCACACCGGGTTCTAGTCCTGGTCGGGGCGCCGGATTCTGTCCTGGTTGCCCCTCTTCCAGGCCAGCTCTCTGCTGTGGCCAGGGAGTGCAGTGGAGGATGGCCCAGGTGCTTGGGCCCTGCACCCGCATGGGAGACCAGGAAAAGCACCTGGCTCCTGCCATCGGATCAGCGCGGTGCGCCGGCCGCAGCGCGCCGGCCGCAGTGGCCATTGGAGGGTGAACCAACGGCAAAAGGAAGACCTTTCTCTCTGTCTCTCTCTCTCACTGTCCACTCTGCCTGTCAAAAAAAAAAAAAAAATAGCCAGTTTATTTCTCACAGTTCTGGAGGCTGGGAAGTCCAAGATCAAGGCAGGGTCAGAATCTGCTGAGGGCTCGCTTTCTGGTCAATGGCACCTTTCTGCCGTGTCCTCACGTGGTAGAAGGAGTCAGGGTCTCTGGCCTCTTTTTAGGGCAGCAATCCCATTCTTGAGGGCTGCACTCCCATGACCTAGTCACCCCACCAAAGCCCCACCTGTTCTCATCGCCTTGCAGGGCAGGGCTTCAGCAGAGGAATTTGAGGATGCAAACATTCAGACCACAGGAGATCCATTGTGGAATCGAGAACCCCCAATCTGTAGACTGATCCAAGCTCCTCACTGGAGGGCCCCACCACCCCCACCCGCCCTGGCTGACCACACCTCCTTGGGCTTGCCCTTCTGCTCCCGCTTAGGACACCGGCCAGGTCCCCCACCTAATCCAGCCCTTCGGGTCACAGCTGTACTGTCCCTCCGTGGAGGCTTTCCTCCAGTCCCTGAAGCAGGGGGAAATCACAGCTTCACAGGACTTCCAAGCCGAGATAGCACTGAGGCTGCGGCCGGCTGCTAGGGCTGTAGCTGAAGATGCATACCTAGGGCCCTAGGGCGGGCTTGCCTCAGGCATTAACCAGCTCACGAGTGGAGCTCTTCCTGGGTCCCAGGTGTGTCTGAGACACTGGCAGGGTTCAAGCTAGCTCATGCGTTCAGTGTGCTCAGCACAGCATCTAGGCCTCAGTGTTTGCTGCCAGCTATTATTTCAGATGTATAAGGCAGATTCTAGATTGTTCCCTAGTTATTTCAAAGACAAACTTCTGGGAAGCACTAGGTGCTTGTGTAGGCAGGGGGATCAAGGAGACCCTCCTGGATAAGGCAGTGAGGACAGGTCATCCACAGGGAGAGAGACGGTAGGGTATTGGCATGTGCCATTTACTAACTGTGTGCTACGGGGCTAGTCACTTAACTCCTCTGAACTTGTTTCTTTTCTGTAAAACTTGCAGATTGTCGGGAGGGTAAGCAATTGTATAGATAATGCATAGAAAGTGCCCAGCGTGCAGCAGCAGGTCCTTCTCTGGGCTCAAGCCTTTGTTTTTAAACCTCTGACCCTCTTTCCGCACCAGGCAGATCTGCAAGGAGTTTGCAGACTTGATGGCACAGGACCGCTCACCATTGGGCAACAGCCACCCAGCACTCATCCTGGAACCCGGAGTCCAGAGCTGCCTGACCCACTTTAGCCTCATCACCCACGGCTTTGGCGGGCCCGCCATCTGTGCTGCCCTAACTGCCTTCCAGAACTACTTGCTGGAGTCACTCAAGGGGCTGGACAAGATGTTTCTAAGCAGTGCGAGCAGTGGGCAGGGTGAAAGCAAGGCTTCGGAGAAGGACGCCAAGCATCGGAAATAACCGCTTTCCCTGCCCCATCCCTAGGGGGCTCCCAAGGCCAGAAAAGAGTCTCAGCTCCTGAGGGTGGACCTGAAAAGACTAAAAGGTGGGATTCAAGTCAGGCATTCGTCCACAGAGTCAGAGATCTGTGCTGGATCAAGGGAGGGTGGCCTCTGTCGGCATTTCTTGCTAAGTTAAGGCCCAGGTGTCTATCTCATGTGTGCAATTTTCTCTCCCTTGATGGCTGAGAAGGGCTTGGACAAGAAATTGTGAAAACTCTGGCTCCCGGAGCAGAGTCCTTCCCACTGGGATGCCTGCGCAGCAGTGGGTACGCCTAGGGGCTGACACCTTCCTGTTTTTTATTGATGGCAGGAGGGAGCTGTTAACAAAACAGAGGTGCTGAGGAGCTGGCGCCCCTTCTCCCAGAATCTCCTACCCACAGAAAATGGTGCTGGCAGGAGAGCCCAGTGGGCTTTTTGGGCCTTTCCCACATGTGGAGAAAAGCAGGCAGGAGGGGCCCTCAAGGAACAAAGAACATAAAGCACAAATTGCAGAACCTGAATCCAGGCTGCTCATCTTGGTACTACTGCTGTCTGTCCTATTTATTTATGTATGTTGTCATTAAATTTGAAAGTTTAAAGATGTCCAGTGCGACTTATTTATCACAGTCAGTGGGGACTTATTTCACTGTTTTTGGCTGGACCAGGAGGGAGGGGGTGCTTTTGCTTGCAGAGGCGTTGGGGTGGCCCTGGAAGGATGATGGGTGTGTCAGGTACCCAAAGACTGTCACTAGGGGTGTGTCAGGCACCCCGAGGCTGTCACTGGGATTTTGTATTTGCTGTGGTTTCTCTTGCCCTGCAGGTGATGTGCCTCCCTAGCTCTCATGTCGCTTTCTCGTTCTCTTAATAAAACTTTTTCATATGGAAGCCTCCCTGTCCTCCTTCAGCCCAGGCCTAGATTTGTCTCCTAAGAGGACAAAGTCACTGGGGAGAGGCAAACCCTGGAAAATAAGAGGTCACACTGGGATAAAAGAAGCCTGTAAGCGGAGACTTTAGGAGGGGGCTGTGGGCAGCTCCAAGAGGGGATGCAGATGTTGGTGGGTCTGTTTGGATTCTCATGTGCCTACTGGTTTGTGTGACAGATGTGTGTCAAGTGATCAGTGACTGTGGGCCTGTGGGTAAGTGTGCCAGTCAGGCTGTTAGGTCTATGTGACTGATATGTTACCCTAACTGTGGTAAGTCTGTGTGTGTGTGTGATGAAAATTCTAATATAGCTCCTTAAAGCATTGTTTTAAAAGTCTGAGGGGCCAGCATTGTGTCCTGTGGTGCTGGATCGCATATGGGTGGTTTGTGTCCTGGCTGCCTCACTTCCAATCCTGCTCCCTGAAAATATCTTGGAAAAAGCAGAAGATGGCCCAAGTGTCTGGGCCCCTGCCACCCAAGTGGGAAACCCAGATGAAGCTCATGGCTCCTGGATCCTGGCTCCAGCCTGGCCCAGCCCTGGCTATTGTGGGAATTTGGGCAGTGAACTGGCAGATGGAAGATCTGTCTGTCTTCCCCCTCTCTTCCTGCAACTCTTTCAAATAAATAAATGTTTTTTAAAAATGTATTTGTGAGGCAGAGAGGGAGAGAGAATCTCTATCTGCTGGTTCACTGCTCAAATTTATAAAACAAATCCTTTCTCCATTTATTTCCTTTGCAGTTTAAGGTGTTGAAAAACTGTTCCCCTAACTCACCCCCAATCCACTCTTCAGTTTGCTTTAGTCTAGCTTCTCTCTATACCGGTCTACTGAAATCCATGCAGCTCAGCTGTCAACGACCACAATGTCAAAATAAAGGCCTTTCTTCTAGGTTTCACAGCAGCATTTGACATGGCTTTTCTGAAACGCTCTCTTCTGTGTTTCCCAACTTCCAGTTTCCCCTGACCTCACTGATTCCAACTCTCATCATTGGAGCTTCCTTCTCTTTGACTTCTAAATGCTGGCCTTCCTCACAGCTTCTCTTCTCAATCCACACTCTCTCCCTAGATGGTCTCATTCAATTCTGCAGCTCTATATATCATCTATGTGCTGCTAACTCCTGAATTTATATTTGCAGCCTCAATTGCTCTCTGAATTCTAGGCCTGGGCTTACAACTGTCTGCCTGATGTCTACACTGGATTGTCTAATGGGCATCTCAAACTTATGCCCAAATGGAGTACTTGATTCAAGCAGTCAAATCTTCACTCCTCAACTGTCTCACTGTAGTGAATAGCACCACCTTACACCAGCTGCCCAGACCAGGAAACTGGAGTCTCATTTGGCTCTTCCCGTGTGCTCAATTCCTCTACAAGTTTTACTGACTCCAAGTCCCTCTTCCTCTTTCCATCGCCATGGCCATCACCTAGTCCTCTGGTCTACTGCAATAGCCCCCAACTGGTCTCCCTATCACTGGTGCATTTTCATGCTAAGGCTTTGCACAATCTGCACATTGCCTACTTCAATCTCAAACTGTTGTTTGCCACTCACTTTGCCCCAGGCACACTAGCTTCCCTTCTGTCCCTCAAACTACCACTTTGCTCTGTGCCTCAGGACTGGTGCACTCACTCTTCCCTTGACCTGGAATGTCCTCCTTTTTTGCAGGGGTGCTGTGAGGGACAGATGTTGAGGTGTGTGGCAGAAGTGAAGGGTGTGCTAGGAACAGAGTCTCGACATCCCCACTCAAGGTGATTTCCCAAGAAGTTTCAAAGCCTCACTCCACCCATATGAAAGGGCACATGGCAGGAAGGCTGGAAGTATGCTCTGCTTTAACTGAAGGCCAGACCCAGCAAGAGTCTCCACTACTACCTTGGGCTCTGGGAAGCTGAGGGGACCAAATGAGATAACCGACAGACAGCACTTAGGCAATGCCCAGAATACAGTAACAAATAAATAAAGGGTTGCGAATATCCAGAAGGTAAACAGAAACCAGTTTACCAAGAACTTTTCAGTGCTGGGCAACTTTCCCTAAGGCAAGGACCAGGCTGTCCTCACCAAGTCCTATTTGTTTGCCAAGGTCACGTGGCAAGTCAGCCTCACAGTGTCTGTCTACTCCAGCACTCCATTTCCAGGGCACCACCTGGCCCTCTGCAGAGAGGCTCATGGGCCTGACCCCAACAAGGGGAGGCAGGTCCTCCCAGCCCCTGTGCCCTCAAGCTCTGCTATGCCAGGACATGAGCCAGTCATTAATGTACAGAAGAAGTTCAGTGTGGAGACAGTGTAAATGGTCTAAGAACCTTCTAATGAGGTCTCAAGTGTTTTATTCTTCTAATGTAGTTTTTTTTTTTTTTAACCCCTTAGCCAAATAAACTGTTTTATCCCTTTATCCCCTGACTAGTTGGGCTTAGCTATAAGGAAAGTAGATGCTGATTAGGGAGCTCAAGAATTTTATACTCCCTTAAAGACAAGACTTTGTTGTTTTAATGGTCATAGTCTTCCAGGAATAAGAAAAGAGCAGCCATTGAAAACCTTCTCTCCCTCAAACCTCCTGAAGGAAGGTGAGGGCAAGCTATGGGATTTTCTCTTCCCAGACACACATAGGTAGCCCCTCCCGATTAGCCACAGCTTCATCTTCCAGTTTCAGTCACATACAGTCAACTGAGATCTGAAAATAGTAAATGGAAAATTCCAGAAAAAACATAAGTTTTAAATTTCAAGTTTTAAATTCCAAATCGTGTGATGAAATTCACCATTCTGCTCTATCCTGCCTGGGATGTAAATCATCCCTTTGTCCGGAGTGTCCACACTGTATACACTACCCGCCCATTAGTCAGAGAGCAGCTGTTTTAGTTGTCAGAATGTCACAGTATGGCAGTGCTTATGTTCAAACGACCTTTATTCCACTTAACAACGGCCCCAAAGGACTAGAGGAGCAATGCAAAGGAGGAACCAGGGAACAAAACCTGGAAAGACAGATCAACTCTGGGGCTATATAGCAACCCTGGCCAGGCACACAAGAAAAACCGTAACAAACATAAGGTTCCATACTAGTCATGGCTTCCGACCTCCCACTGGAAGCCTGGGATGTATCCCCTACAGGTAAGGGAGGGACTACTGTACTCACACACAGGACTAGGCAGAGGCAGACATCTGGAGAGAATCCTGAGAATGTCCCTGTCTTGCCTGAGCACTGCTGCTGCTTCCAGCAGAGGGCCAGCGCAGGAGATGGTGACGGGACCCTGGCTTCAGTTCAGGCAGAGCAGCCTCCGCTGCTGCTGTTCAGCTGGCAACACCCAGAGCTGCTCAAGCCATCTCAGCACCCTCTCCCCCGGCCCTCAGAGGCTCCTTGTCGGCCTTGTCATCTGTCTCTTCACTAGGCCAGGCTGAGCTTCCCTACCCTGAGGCAAAACAGCTGCTCTTTGCCAACCTAACCCCTTCCTACCACAAACCTGGGCAGAAATAAATTGTTTTCTGTGTATCATGCACCTAAAGCAGATGGAAGACAATCGGAGGACTGTTCTGAGCAGCATTTGGCCAGGAGTATTAAAGAATTAAAACCTTCCTGGTATTTTTCAAACTTCAAGAAATTGGTTTAGGACACAGCTGGCATTAAAAAATAAATAAAACCCAGCAGAAGCAAACACAACAGAAAATATCAGAAAGCAGAAGCATGATTCAACACACACATATATAGAACTGTAAGAAAAGTTCCACAAAGCAATGCTTACTCTCTTATAGTGCATATATATAGAATCAATTTTTCTGTGAACTTTTGAAGCAGCTCTCTGCTATGGCCTGGGAGAACAGGCTCCTGCATGCACGTGGGAGACCTGGAAGAAGCTCCTGGCTTCGGATCACCCCAGCTCCAGCCATTGAGGCCATTTGGGGAGTGAACCAGTGGATGCAAGACTTCTCTTTCTGTCACTCTTTCACATAAATAAATAAAATTTTTTTCATATAAAGATTTATTTGAAAGAGTTACACAGAAAGAGAAGAGGCAGAGAGAAAGTCTTCCATCCGCTGGTTCACTCCCCAATTGGCTGCGATCAGAAGCCAGGAGCCAGAAGCCGCCTCCTGGTTTCCCACATGGGTACAGGGGCCCAAGGACTTGGGCCATCTTCTACTGCTTTCCCAGACCATAGCAGAGAGCCGGATCGGAAGTCGAGCAGCCAGATCTCAAACTAGCACCCAAAAGGCATGCCAGCACTTCAGGCCAGGGCGTTAACCCACTGAGCCACAGTGCCACCCCTCACATAAATAAATAAATCTTTAAAAAAAATGACTTAAAAATGACTTGGAATAGAGCTAAAAGCCCAAATTATGCATATTCACAGGGGTTCTAGAGATTGATGATATGAATCATCTTTTCCCCATTTATTCAATGATTAGCTTTCTTATGGTTTAAAGCATTTACTTTTTTTTTTTTTTTTTTTGGACAGGCAGAGTGGACAGTGAGAGAGAGACAGAGAGAAAGGTCTTCTTTTGCCATTGGTTCACCCTCCAATGGCCGCCATGGCTGGTGCGCTGCAGCCGGCGCACCCCGCTGATCCGATGGCAGGAGCCAGGTACTTCTCCTGGTCTCCCATGGGGTGCAGGGCCCAAGCACTTGGGCCATCCTCCACTGCACTCCCTGGCCAGCCTTACTATTGGTATATTAAAATATGTCTAAGGCCGGCGCCGTGGCTCACTAGGCTGATCCTCCGCCTTGCGGCGCCGGCACACCGGGTTCTAGTCCCGGTCGGGCCGCCGGATTCTGTCCCGGTTGCCCCTCTTCCAGGCCAGCTCTCTGCTGTGGCCTGGGAGTGCAGTGGAGGATGGCCCAAGTGCTTGGGCCCTGCACCCACATGGGAGACCAGGAGAAGTACCTGGCTCCTGGCTTTGGATCAGCGGGGTGCGCCGGCCACGGTGGCCATTGGAGGGTGAACCAACGGCAAAAGAAGACCTTTCTCTGTCTCTCTCTCTCACTGTC